GTTTATACTGTCAGGTAATTTAATTACACATACCACGCTGATCAAGAAGCTACGTATATAAAAGCAACGATTCATCTAGTTAATTCATCTAGTTAATCTAGTTAGTTCTAGTATTCAACTCCTGATTTTAACATACGTAGGTGTTTGAAACATGATTATTGAGATTGAGTGATTTCCTGTGTATTACCCAGGGTATCATGGAACCAACTTGCAAGACGCCAAAAGCAGTCTTCGCATACCTTTGATGTGGTCCCTTTAGCACTAATAGATCCTGTATCAGAACTTATCAGCCTGCCCTTAATAGGGAGCTTCAAATAATACAGGGTGTCATGTGGGGAATATTCTCTCTTGATTAAAATACCCCCGTTGCAGCAAACGTGCAGACTTGGTGAATTTCCGTGTACCTAGTTAGATTTAAGATAAGATATTGCTTTAAAATTGTTAGATTTATTTCCTATTTAAGTAATATTAAGTACTCAAGTACTTAGGTTTGCTACTGCAGGAAAGGGAATTAAGTGCGTTATTTGTTCATGTGTAATGTATGTGTTATTATTATAGTCGGTGAAGTGATTATTATTACATTGTATAAGTGTTACAATGTGAAAATAGAAAAAGGCGACAAGTATATAAGTATTAGTGATTAACATATAGGGACCTATTCAAGACAAGTATGTAGTATACAAGATACAATTTTAAGTTTTTCAACCTCCCGTGCTTTAACACATGGCTGGACATGGAATTGTATAACGCTTTTTTATTTGTACAGATTTTTGAGTTAAACTGAAAATACACGTAGCTAGGTTTACTTACATAAGAGAATATTATAACTATCGGACTTAAACAGGAATTGAGAACGTTTATTCACCGTGTAGTTTTGATGAAAGAGGAGGGTTAAAGGGATTCCCAAATCTAATCTCCCTTTGGTGGAGTCATAATGAGCCCTTTATTCAGTTCAGCGGTCCCTCTATTATTTTTTTTATCAAAAATGTTTTTTTCTTTTCATAATTAGTATTTTTTTTATTACTAAAGATTATGTTGTGTTTTTTTTCTCAATGTATTTTTATAAATCTAAAAACAAAGATAAGATTAGTTAAGGTGTGGTAATACATATTGCTCAACCTTAAAATATTTAAAACAAAATTAAATGCTTTGTAATTAATTTTGTGTAATAATGTAATTTTACTAGTTTTTTTATTATTTCTAAGTTTTATTTTTATTTCATAGTAGTTTCCAATAATGATATTTACAGTTAAACAAATTTTATGGGGTTCCTCATTCACACTTGAATTGTATAACTATATTTACAAATATCGATATCATAAACATTTTATTCTTTACATTTTATTCTAAATGTAATATAAAAGAAACCTCTTCAAAAGTCAATCCTATATTTACGCAATCAAAACATTTAATGTTGAGGATTCCTAAGCAACTTAATTAACTGCACGCGCTTCATCACTTTTGCTAATCACATTTATAAGAAGCTCCTCGTCGCTTTGTAATTAACTGTCTGTTCTGACTTATACAAACATGTCAATTAAATTTACTCTGTTTCATAACTCTGTTTTTTAACTCATCAGGCAATAATTAGTCACGGGACATTATCTATTAATTTATTATGCTGAAAGACCCTTCTCATAATGTGAAAGGACTATTAAAAGTTCAGTGTCGAAAAAGTAAAATAACGTACAACACATTGTCCCAATTAGTTCATATAATTTTGAATTTGACTGTCGAAGGAGGTAGAAAATCCTTGTTCAAGTTTTATTCAGTTTTAGAAAATAAACATGAATAAAACCACCGATAGAATGCGCTGATTTCTGTTGAATAGACAAACTTTTCAATCAAGCCAAACTGAAAACCACATATTTTCAGTCATAACCCCATCACATAACCTAACTCATTACCAAAAACTTCGGAAGAAATAGAGTTTTAGACTTTTGAACACACTGTGAATGGCTTTTTGTTTATATTTGTTAATAAAATAATTGGCTGCAGCCAGTCAATATTCATGCGATTTCTGCATCAGTGATCATTTCATTATATTGGGATTTATTTAACTCATTAAAAGAGTTTTTGTTTTACAGCTTACGGCGGAATAGTAAAAGAAAAGAATAATCGTAATAACTAATTCGGTTGAGCCTCATCGTTTACCTTAGGGTTTAAGAAGAAGATTTTAAAGTGGTGGTATTCCACCCTATTTATTTTTCCTTTATATAATTTTCCTTCGAATGTGTTTTTTATTTAAATAAAACGTTATAATCAAAAAGAAAAGTAAACGATGTGTAACTCAATTTAAGGGAAACAATTATTTATAAGAAGTACAGTTTTTATTTATGAATCAATAATCTTTTTCAGGAGAAAGTAGTAGTAGTATAAAACTCCTCCCAGGTGTTTAATTAATGGAAATTATTAATAATCTATTATACATTTTCATAAAAAAAAAAACAGTATTTATTTAACATGCATCACTAAGAGTAGATAATTTCACATAAAATAATTTATTATTGATTTAGTATCGATATCATAGTCAATAGTAAGTTACGATTTATATTTTAAAATTATTTTATATGACCTTGAATAACAGTAAATTGAGATCAGTGCTTCCTAAAACGACCCTTCCCTAAATCATTAACCGGATAGTAAAATGTAAAGAAACAAACTACAGTATAGTTGTTCAATTATTTATCAGTTTAACAGCTTAACAATACCAACGTGTTATCGAGTACAAGGTATAGCTTTTGATGTTTAATTACATAAATAATTTATCATAATTAATTTCAACTAGCAAGGCTCAATAGCAATAAAGGGACCACATCAAAGGCCGTCGGCTCCAGTGACATCTAACTACCTGCTCTGTTTGAAACAGTTGGCGAGGCACACACATTTATATCCCACATACAGTTGTATGCAAATTTGTGAAATGTAAATGGAAACTATGTATAAATGTGTTACTGTAATGAGATAAAATTAGCATAACATATTATTGCTAGATAGGAGATTATTTAGGAGTAAAGGATATAATACAGTTTACCTAACCCGCCATGTTAAACTTCCCTATCCCAAGCGTGATGTATACAACTTCCTTACATCTCGAGTGATGTAAAGTATCAAAAACTCACTCGGTGATGTAATGAACCCCATTTAAATAACATTGAGTGATTAACTTAAAAAATATACCTCTATGGAGTAACGACGTTCAACGCTAGAAATCAGCTGTGCGCTTGAATTTTATTGTTATGTTTTGAAGAATTTTCCTAACCTAGCTTTTGTTTGTAAATGAACGTTACTGTTAGAAGATGAGTGAAATGGATAATGAAAAATATTGTTCGTAACCTCCTGTATATTGTCGGGTCAGGTAAAATCTTGTACGTTGCACGTTACGCAAGAGCGTGTTTACATCACTTAGGTAAATTATGCAACTCGCTTCCGCTCGTTGCACAACATTCACCTGCGTGATGTAAAAACGCTCTTACTACTACACTTGTAAGGTAAATAGCTATTACAGCATACAATTATAATGTATACGTTTGGGGTGTTTTGATAAAGCTCTCTGAGCACTGCGGGTTACAATATGTTTTTGTGTTTTTTTCTAAAAATGTAAACATATTAAAACAGGAATTGCACAGAGTATTACAAACACTACACTTGTTACATTATGAATGTATGCTATGTTTATCAACCGTGTAATATACATTACTCTTAAGTATATTATATTATATAGGATATAAAATACTTTAAATTATATCCTTCTTTGAGATTGCCTGTCCACATGGGCACAGAACATATGGCATTAGAAATTGTTTACAAGTTACTTATATCCTCTTTTAAATAAAAAATAATTTGTTTTAACACATAATTTACGAATTCACCTCATGTTTTATCATACAATATATAAGTGTTTGAGTTACTATAAAAATTATTTTTTCAACACAAACTTACACAGGCCTAAGAGGCCTAGGAGGTCAAATTGTTGCCGCTGCTTTTCCATTTGCATGTTATTGAAGCGGTATCAACCCCTTTCACATTTATTTAACTTTCATTCAGCTTTATTTCCTTGGGGTTTATCTTTATTACACCCAAAATCCACTATTTAAAAGTATTTTCCTTTCGAGAACTATGACTGTTTAAACTTTATAAACGCATTTTGTGGATAGTTTTTCATGGCTTAGCTTCGAACTAAGTGAACCTTACATTAAATACACACTGAAACACTTCGTTATCCAGCAACCCTAACAGATTTTATAACTAGTTATAACTTATTACAGTCTTACAAAAATAACGTTAGAGATTTAAGACATTTAAAACCATATATATTTTTTTATATTAAACATTTTACCAAAATTCCTATTTTTTATATACCGATCCTCTGCGCATTTCAATCAAACAAAAAGTAATACAAAAGAGACTAAATTAGTAATTTATATTCTGCTTTCACATTATCATAAAAAATTGCAAACGTATTATGAAACCGTTGTGTTTGAAAATCATCTTAAATTGACACCGTTACTTGATATTGTGAACTGAAGTAATATAGGAGTTATTATGGTTAATAAACAAGTTAATTATGTCTTCCATGTACCCTACTCCTTGCTCCTATTAGCAGTTTTATATTATTACCTTTTATAATATTGAAATTAGTAACAATCGCTGTTTCTTCTTCAATAGTTACACTTATTAGCAATTTATATTTAATTTAGAAATATTTACACAAGAACGTTTTCCAATGGTACTTTTTATGGTTTTAAAAGGAAAATGTAGTAAATCTTAATTGGTTTTAGAATATGAACAATTCTATTCTAAATTTACACGTAAATTACTTTATGTACTTAATTGATGTACAGTATTTTTTATTTCCGTCCAACTATTATGATTGCCGACATTGCTTACTTATTGTAACCACTGTATAAATTAGTTATGTGTGCGATATGATAAAATTAAGTAACCATATGATTAAATACTAATTTATTTAAAAATTAATCGAAATAAATCTGTTTCAGCCGCCTATTGTGGTACTCAATGTGGTAGTGCTGGAAGCAGAGGGCCTGGAAGCTAAAGATGCGAATGGTGAGTGGAAAAATTATAGTTTACTATTATTATTTAAATTTTTTGCATGTTTTTATAGCCTCCTGTAATATAAGGCCGCACCAGACAAAAGTGGCAACACCGCAAAACCGGCCTATTGAAGAAGCTGCTGCACTAAGTCATAGTGGAGTGCCTGCGCAATGTTTACGTTTGCACGTTTGTTATTACTGCTGTTGCCATGGGAACAGACCCGCCAGTGCGACGTTGCCACACACTACCGTAGATTTTAATAGAAGGGGTTCTGATATTTTATATATAACAGAAGTATAAGTCCGTCTCATTTTCCCCGTTTAAGCCGATGATTTTGCAATGTAACTTAAGCAAAAAAGGCAGGACACAATAGTAAATGAAATTAATTAATTTTACTTATTATTCTTAATTTAAACCGATGACTGTAAATTACTATAAACGTTTTAAATCATGTTAGCAAAACATTTTTCTGGATTCTGATGATTAAACTGTATGCAGCGATATTCTAACGTCAAAATTACGTAGTGAATTCATTGAAATATACCTTTGAAATTTACGTTAATAAAACCAAGGTAAGGTAATTAAGAAAAGTGGATTTCAATGTTGGCGCCATCACGTTTTTATAAACTATTATCTTAAGTGGATGAATCCCTTAGAGGTTTAAAATATTCATTTGATTTAACACAAGTTTTCGAAAGTTAAGTGTACTTTATTTGTTTTATTTTATTTTCATTTTCAAAGTGTTTTAATAGCAGACTAGCATAATAGATTAAGTTATACAATAAATCGCAAATAATGGTATTTATATACTTGTATTTTTATGTGTCATTATTTAAATATTCTATTGTGTTTTAAAATGTAACCAAGCAAAGGCAGATCCACTAAAGCTTTTTGAGTTATTCCTTAAAATACTAATACCTTACCAAATATTTCCAATTAGTTTTGAATGATTTTAAAATCTAAGTATCCATTTGCTCCACAAATTAAAGAGATGTTGAACCCTTTTGTTATGTATACATACAAATAAACTTAGGATTTTATATACCTCCGTTTACTTTATGTACTCAATACTTTAACCTACAAGAAATACTCTCAAGGCTAATTTTACTAGTTTTATATTAAAACTTAGCATTTTAAATTCAGGATAGTCACAGTCCTAAAAACATCTCACCACCGTGATGTAGCTTACGTATGCAGGTTTGTCCACATCATCATTGGTCAATATTGCAGAGTATTGTGTGTTGTAGTGAACAGTGTGGAATGTTGAACAAGGAATTATGCAACCCCTAACATCCTGCAATAGTGTTGGTCGCATAATATACAATTGTTTGTACTTTTATTTAGCTGGGGTTGTACACACCGATTATAAAAAAAAATTGTAATCAATTTCTAAATGTTATACGTTGTAGTTCAGTAGGTTACGGACTTATAACTTATAATTTATTTCTACAGGAAGTTTTGTGTCTTTTAAAAGTACATTTAATATTTTAAATTTTCATTTTGTGCCTTTTTTCGCCAATGGCACTTTTGAACATTTTAAAAGGGAACGGTCTAAACTGGTCTTGTTACTATCTGTCTACGGGTTTTTTGGATAGCACCATTTTCTTTTTTAAGAGGTTGGCAGCCTCTTTTAACCTTGCAATACCCGTCCACATAGACTAACCGCCCGTGCGTGGATCGTTTACATCAAAGCAAGGAGTGAGCCGGTACAGTACAAAGGTGATATGTACTGTACTGATAAAATGTTTTCGGCAGTGACCAGGATCCGAACCCACGACATCGCTGCCTTGGGCCCGAAGTCCGTGACGCTACCGACTCACTCAAATCTTAGTCTTATGTGATCGTTGCTCAATTCATAGCCCAATGACAAATTTCATCTTTGTCTGGAAACGACCTCGTTTGGACGATTTCAAGCAAATATCGATAGCTAATGTCGAAAAAATCACATATATTTGTTAGTTATCTTATAATTAATTAGTAAAACAAATTTTCTAGCTGAATCGAGAATCTTAAGAGTAAATCCTTTTCTAAGTCTTAACATTAATTTCAGAACAACTGAAATTTCCGTCCAAAAAGTTTGTTTTAAACAATTTATATTGTAATACGTGTACTACAATTGTTGCAAGTTCAATTGATAAATAGTTTATAGAGTGAGTAGCAAAGATGACTAGATGTGTTTGAGCCATGAGATGTAATTTGATTCGGTATCACGATCAAGTACACAGAAACGTCTTTGAACTGTTATAGCTTTGTTGCGCCCACTTCTCATCTCTTAGCACAAGTTTACTGTTTCTCCTTAGATGCCGACGCACATGATTCTGGAATATACTGAATATCGTTTGTTAAATATTTTCAGAATTTGGTAGTTACATATCCAAAGATACCTTAGAGCATGCTTAGTGTAACCGGTGTTTGAATTATGGTTAATTCTTTCCATACACACATTACCAGGTAAGGTTAAAAAGAGGTTGGCATGACTGAATTCCTTCACTAAAATAGTTTGGTTACACTGTATTGGGAAACTGCTGTTTCATTGTTGTCGTTGACGTTTGCAGTTCCTTAAAATATTTAACTTTGATCTAAAAACCTCTTAATATAAAAAACAGCTGTTTTAGTAAAATAGAACGTATAGGAGATTATTTATCAAAGCTACTCCACATAAAATAGCTTCAAACCTTGGAGTAAACAGTTCGTAGAAATGGGATCAGTGAAAAAACTGTACACTCCTGGGAGACCTATATCAGTGGCAACAATGGAAAACGTAAGACAGTTTTGCCTAAAGCTGGGTTTTCCTAGACGCGGAGTCGGCCAGCGGAGAGCGGACAACGGAGAGCGGACTCAGCTTGTCTTAGGTAATTTAATGTTACTGTTTTCCTAGCAGCGGAGCGGAATGCCATGTTAATTTCAATTCCGCTCTCCGTTGTCCGCTCTCCGTTGTCCGCTCTCCGCTGGCCGACTCCGCGTCTAGGAAAACCCAGCTTTAGAAGTCCAGATTTAACATTGATTTTACTTATGTCGTCATAAACATCATATACTTCACAAAATACGTACTCTTTCTTTTTTTACGTAATGAAAAATAATAAATTCCGAGCAAATATAAGCCATTTGTTTGCATTGTCCGTATTATACAATTAAGATGCAACTAATCTGCAAGGTAAGTGTCTAACTGTTCTTGTGTATTCTTTAATTTGAAGATATTTTAATCATAGGTAGCAACATTAAAATTACCCATAAAAATAGAGATTTGAATCAGTCAACAGGTTGGGCAATAACATCACATGCAAGTAGGACATCAGTTAGATGGAGTGTGAATATTTTACTGAATGGACTAGAGGACATGGGTTATGCAAATCGTCCAGTGTAGATTATACACTATACTGCAATCCCTAGACGTTGTAGATTCATAGACATAAACCAAAATCGTATTTATGGTTCTATCTTGTAATTATTGTAAGTATATTAACGAAATTGATATATTATGACATTAAAAGATAAGCCTAAAACATCCATTCAACAACACATTGTAACATGTACAAAATTGTTAACATTGTACAACATTGTAAAAATTCAACAACAAAAATGGTTTCACCTGAAATACTTCGAATATAAATCCAGTAATGCTTTTACTTAATATTTTATATAGGCCTACATATAATTTAGATACAGGATATTTTCTTTGCTTATAGACTAAATTTGCATTTCATAAACTACAATATATAAGCTATGTATACAACATTTCTCTAGAGTTATTTTCAGTGCATAGCGTTCACCGGAATTTACAGAACTACCAACTTAATAAGCAGATTTTCTATGGAAAAGTAACATATTATATTAATTTCACTATCGTTTTCACACTTAAGTGGCTTCAAAGTGTGCGATTATAACCCTTAATTAATAGATGCATTTAAAGGACGGCGCATTCACTTCACCTACTGAACCACTGTGATTTACAATGGTGGCACTGTTACCTATGGTTTAAAGTTTGCGATATGAAAATTAAAAAATAAAACCCACTAAATACATACACCGTAATAAACTGTCGTAGCTCAAAAGGTTATTGAGTGAAGGGTCTTCATAAGACATAATTAAGTATCCTTTGAGGAAGTTGAGCCATTATTGGCTAGAAGGTTATATACTCGTGTATCTTCGTGCTAGTCTTTATACAAATTGACAGGGAATGAAATTGTTCTTCAAGAATAGAATATTTAATCTGTTTAGAACTATCTTATTCACTCGCTTCTTCTTGGAGGAGATAAAATAGCAAATTTTGTGTGTGTACGAAATTGTGTAGCAAGAAATAATACATAACATTGAAAATTAATAATGCTGTAATACTCTAATAATCATAATGCTATATTTACTCCAGTTCTTATTGACCTAATTCATATTGTACGTTTTCTGTCAAACAGTCTTATCCCGACTTATTTTCTCTAATAAATTGTAAATTTTTCTTATATAATTTTATTGTAATAATTGATAATAAGGTACTTAAGATTGACTAATCTTACAGTCTTTTTGCAATAATAATCTGATAGGATTTCTTTCCTTTGCTATCGGCGTTAAAATTATAGTTTTGCATACAGGAAAATGAAAATATTAAATAAAATTAATCAGAATCTTGTTTACATAAAGGTTTATGGCAATAATTAAAATCCTTTAACGTATAGAATTAATGAAATAAACCTTTTCCCAAAATGCTACAGGATTTTTTTTTTTCAAGATAAACCGTTATGTTATAATTAGATCTGATATTTATTATTTCACCTACTATGCTAATAAATTATCAAGAAAGAAAAACCAACACTCATAGATAACTCCTGCAGAGAATTTATGCAGTATTAATGTTGTAGGACAACTAACTTATGTAGCTAAGGTGTTACATGTGCAAACGTGCTTGTACTCAGCAAATAGCTATTGTTGTAGTTAAACTCTGAAAACGGTCTGAAGATTAACTTGTATTAACACGTAAAATTGTGCAACATGTGTTCACTTATCTTTCGAAACAAGTTAGG